AAGGTACTCCACTAGCATTACTTTAATCAGCAATTTATTTTTCAAGAATTATTGATAACCTCGAAAACTACCGCTATCAAAAATTCCACCATTTCATTTCATGTCTTAGTTATTAAGGCCTACATACAGCCTATTGGCACTTCTCTTCACTGGCCTTGTTGGATAAGTCAACTTTTACTCTTAAGCTCAACGAGACTGGCCGGCCTGCCGATTCTCGGTACAGGCTTCAGATTTGTGACTTTTTGGTCTGCCAAATCATGCACACGGGGTTGGTAATGAGCCCGTTTGTTGAGCCAAACAAGCCGGCTCTGTCGGCCATTGAGATTAGCTGTCCAACTGGTATTGGCAGACGGCTGGTATCGGCGGTCGCGACAACCAATTTGCAAACATGTGCATATATGACCGGTTTTGTTTAGCCTTGCCTCCATTTGCGGCTAGAACACCGATTAGGGTGATTCGGAGGGGCTGAGATTCGAAAATGGGGGCCGGTGAACTTGCATCAACATGCCTTCACTCCATCACCCTGGTTTGTCCGCTCGAAACTGAAATAAGGCGATCAGAAGGGGGCCGTCGGAGACAGATGTTGGTCGTCCTCATTGGGTGTGCGTCGAGGCTGCTGTGGTACTAATAACAAGGCACTCAGCTCCCCCAAATCCACTTGCTACCGCCGCCGGTACCACTATAACCGGTGTCGTCGTGATCAGTTCCACAAAGATGTGAGGTCGACCACCAGTGTTCTCTTGATGCCGGTGACCTTATTTACAGCTACAAAGTGAGACTGGACAGCATAGAGACGATCGTACACAAAAAGCAACAGAATAAGGCTATTTCAACCGCCCTGACGACTCCAGATAGTTTGGCAAAAGAAAGTCTAGACAGGACAAGCACGATGCAAAGAGGCACAACAGCAAATAAAGATACACATGGCTTTCACTATATTTATGACCATCGAATGGCATCGGTGATTCAGCTTCTAATAAGTCATTCTATTTGTTGCACTGAAGCTGATCTGAGAGTAATTTAAAGCGAATTTTTTTGTTCAAATTTGTCTGCAAGAGCTGGGATAATATCTTGAGTTTGCATTTCCGTTGATGAGAGAAATATCAAAGGGAATGATTAACAGAATAATTTCGATTATTCTGCGCTTAGCCAAAGCTACAGCAAATATACCTTCGTAAAAGACAGAAGTAATCATATTGGGCAAGAGTTAGTTATCATTTGGCCTAGAAGACTCCTTTTTGCAAGCTTCTACTCTTAATCGAAGATATGAAGACCAAGATGGTGTGGCCTATTGTGTGGTCGCAGTCTCCTTTCGTTGTATAGAAGTTGTTTGACCTTGTTTTCGCAACT